TCTCTCTCTCTCTGTCTTTCTCTCTCTTTGTCTCCCTTTCTCTGTCTTTCTCTCTGTCTCTCTCTCTCTCTCTCTCTCTCTCTCTCGCTCTCTCTCTGTCTTTCTCTCTCTTTCTTGCACTCTCGCACTCTCTGTCTCACTCCTCTGTGTGTGTTTCTGTTTTTCGTTCTCTATTTATATCTGTTTCTCTCTCTCATTCGCTCAATCTGCCTTTCTCTCTGTGTTTTTCTCTCTGTCTCTCTCTCTCTGTGTCTTTCTTTCTCTGTCTTTCTCTCTCTCTATCGCTCTCCCTCTGTCTTTCTCTCTCTTTCTTGCACTCTCGCTCTCTCTGTCTCACTCCCTGTGTCTCCCTTTGTTTTTCGTGCTCTATTTATATCTGTCTCTCTCTTCCTTTCTCTGATTCTCTCAATCTGCCTTTCTCTCTGTGTTTTTCTCTCTGTCTCTCTCCCTTGCTCTTTCTCTCACTCATTCTCTGTCTCTTTGTCTCACTCCCTCTGAGTCTCTCTCTCTGTTTTACTCTCTCTCCTACTCTATCTGTCTCTCTCTGCCACTCCGTCTCTGTTTTTCTCTCTTATTCTCTTACTCTGTCTCTCGCTCTCTCTATGTTTCTCTCAGCCTCTGTCTCTCTATTTCTATGTCTCTCTGTTTTACATGCTGTCTTTCTCTATCTGTCTGTCTCTCTCTCTCTTGCTATGCCTCTCACCCTATCTCCCTGCCTCTCTATCACTTTCTCTCACTCTCACCCTGTCTCTCTCCACATTTATCTCTGGATGTGTCTTTGTCTTAAACTCTCTCTCTCCCTCTACCCCACACTCTGTCTCCCTATCTTGCTCTGTCTCTCTTCCTCTGTGTCTCTCGCACAAACACAAATTCCATCTCTCTCCCTCTCTCGATATGTCTCTGTCACCAAATCCTCTTCAGATCTGACACAGAGGAAACTGGACCTAATGTTTCAACAAACTTAGAAAGACAGAGAGAGACACACAATGTATAACACTGGGGTACAGAACCGGTGGGGCCCAGTCTGTCACTGTATAACACTGGGGTACAGTACCAGTGTGGGACAGGTCTGTC